CTGGAGCCGTCTTGGGCCATCTTGGACGCTCTGACCGCTCGCGTAGGTCCAGGGGAGGGGGTAGGGGGAGGGGCCAATACACCTCCTAGATAGCAAGCCGTCTAGCTCACTCCCAGCCGCCCTCCCAACATATAAGTAACACCCGAGCCTCTGCATGTTCAGCGGGCGTCGTTTTTTTGGATGGACAGCTACTGGGAGCCAGAACCGAGCCCATGTGCGGGACGCTGGGGCGCGGTGCGCCACGCGTGCCAGGGGCGCCACGCGCGACAGGCACCCCTGGGGTCCGAGCGTGGCAGGCACGCCTGGTGCGCCAGATGCGCCACGTGCTCCGCGTGCGCCGGGTGTGCCGCACACTCCAGCCGCGCCAGGTGCTCCACGTTCGGGGGACGCGCAGTGTGTGTCAGGTGCGCCTGCGCACGTGACAGCACACATTGGGAAACATGTCAGCCCCCACCACCCTCGTCGAACAGCAAGGCCCATCATTGTGTCGGGTGGGCCTGCGCACAGCAGGCCACGCGCCACCACCGCCGCCGTCCCTGTCCCAAACCACTAAACAGTGATCGCGGGGTGTCCGCGCCCCATCCAGATTTTGCCGCGAGGTGCATTTTATATGGTTTTTCTGAGGGACGATAGCCTTGCGCGCAGCAGGCAAGATGCTGACACCCCAGCCTTTCCTGGCCAAAGTCATACAACGTGCTCGCGGGCCTCACGAACATGACCCAAGACTTTGCCCAAAAGTGTACTTTGTATTGTTTTTGACAGGGATGGTGGGGGGGCGCGCATCGGGTTGGCCGCGCAGGCTCCAAATGTGGAGGCAGAGTGCGTTTTGTATTGTTTTTGAAAGGGATGGCGGGGGGTGCCCGCATGGTTCTTGGTTGGCCCCCGGTTGCCTGGGGGAGGGGGTGTATATTACCAGGGAACAGTGATCAAGCGACCCACCCGCCCGCAAGCCGTCTAGCTTACTCCCACCCGCCTCCCTACACACAACACCCGAGCCTGAACATGTTCAGCGGTCGTCCTTAGATGGGCAGCTACTAGGAACAAAAGCCGACCCCAGGTGCGCGACGCTTGGGCGAGGTGCGCCACGCGTGCCAGGGGCGCCACGCGCGACAGGCACCCCTGGGGCTCGAGCGTGGCAGGCACGCCTGGTGCGTCAGATGCGCCACGTGCTCCGAGTGCGCCAGGTGTGCCGCACACTCCAGCCGCGCCAGGTGCGCCGCGTTCGGGGCACTTGCAGAGTGCGTCAGGTGCGCCTGCGCACGTGACAGCGCACATCGTGAAACATGTCGGCCCCCACCACCCTCGTCGAACAGCAAGGCCCATCATTGTGTCGGGTGGGCCTGCGCACAGCAGGCCACGCGCCACCACCCCCGCCGTCCCTGTCAAGAACCACTTGACAGTGATCGCGGGAAGGCCGCGCATGATCCAGATTTAGCCGCGAGGTGCATGTTGTATTGTTTTGTGTCAGGGGTGGTAGCCTTGCGCACAGCAGGCAATATGCTGACACACCCGCCATCCTTTTCAAAAACAATACAAGGTCCTCGTGGGCCTCACGAACATGACTCAAGATTTTGCCCCAAAGTATACTTTGCATTGCTTTTTTGACAGGTATGGTTGGGGGGCCGCATCGGGTTGGCCGCGCATGCTCCAAACGTGGAGGCAGAGTGCGGTTTGTATTATTTTTTGTCGGGGATGGTGGGGGGCGTGTCGGCATGGTGTCGGCATGGTGCCTGGTTGGCCCCTGGTCGCCTGGTGGAGGGGGTGATTATTAATAAGGGAACAGTGGTAAACCACTCCCCGAAGGGGAAGCAGGGGGTTGGAAGAGGAAACTCCCTAAACCACCTACGCCCTAAAGGGCTGGTGGGATTCACAACCTGTACGGTCGGGAATTCTTGCTTAGCATTTTGAGCCGCAGTTCTGGCCCACCACGATTCCCTGGGACACGCTAAGCACGTCCCGGTCACCGAGCATTACCGTTGCGAGCTTATCTCGGTCCCGCGTCCCGCGAAGCAGAGCGACACGCTATCAGCTTGCAGGGCATGGCATGTCGCCAGGGCCGCCGCCGCGACACGTTAAGCAGAGGCTCCGGGCCGTATTCCTAGGCCTCCCAGAGGGGGCCGGAGTGGATGGGGTCGGAGGATCGCGTTGTATCGCCAATGAATCGCCGATGCGGCTGGATGTGGGGCCCTATTTTCTCCACGCCGGTGTCGCCGATGCATCGGCGACGTCGTCGGTGCATCGCCGATACATCGGCGATGCATTCGCGATGCGGCGCGCTCCTCTGACCCCATCCACTCGAACCCCATTGGGGAGGCCCCTAGTACTGGTTCAGGGGATCGGGGGTCGGCGCGCCCCCAGTGGCACCACAGCGCCGCGGCCTTCGTGGACCGCCTCAAGGCGCAGTTCGCCGCTGGCCAGAGGAACGGCAGCGCGCTCCAGCTCCACATCCGGAGGCCCAGGACCTCCCCCCCCAGAGAGCGGGGGCCCTGGCCCAGCGGGGCTGGGACCAGGCCAATCGCTCCAGAGCTTCCCGGAGTGCTCTCGGAGCGTTCCGGCGCGCTCCGCAGCGCTCTGGAGCGGCCGCGGGCGAATGAGCGATCCTCCAGAGCCGCCAGAGCTCAAAACTCCCCAATTTGTCCTGGTCCGATGTTGTGCCAGTCCTGGTCTCGTGCTGCCTCCTGCCTCGGCGTGGGGTGGGGGCCCGGCGGCGCGCAGAGGTCGGAGGCGACGGCGGGGGCGAGCGGCGCAGGGGGTGGGCACTGCGCGTGGGCGCCCGGGGGCCCCGTCGAGCGCAGGGGCGATCGGATCGCCTGGACGCACGTGATGCCCATCCTCGGCCGGTCCCGCGCCCGCGGCAGCCCCGGAAGGAGGGGGTGTCGCGAGAGGGGTGGCCCTCTGAGGCGTGGGGGCCTCTGTCTCGGGGGCCCTGCCGCCTCCCGAGAAGCCTGCCCAGGATCTGGGCTTCCAAGATGGGGTCGGAGGATCGCGCCGCATCGCCGATGCATCGGCGATGCGGCGCGATCCTCCGACCGCATTTTCTCGGGCCCCATTTGGGAGGCCTCCTAGAAGACTCCGAGACTTCAGTCGGGCGTGTCCCTCTACAGGAGGAAAAATCAGAAATAGTCAGAAAATAGGTCTGTGACGATTTTTCGGCCATTGTTTGAGTATTTTCGGGTATGTTTTTTAGGAGGACATGCCCGACCTCATCCGAGACTCCGCGCCGGCCGAAGAGGCACGCAACGGCCGGCCGGCCGCGCACCGAGGGTCACTCTTGCCAAAGGGCCACTCGCGCGTGTAGCCGACTCGTAGGCTGCTCCCCCCCCTCCTTGTACAGTCGCGTTTGGTTGGTAGGTCGACGCTGCCCAAACAAGGGTACCCCTTGTGTCCTGTGCTTCGCGGCCCCTGCCATCTACGCCCCTTGTGTCCTGTGCTTCGCGGCCCCTGCCCTCTACGCTCAACTGGCAATGTGGCCATCGGAAGAGTCTTGTGTCCCCTCGCGTGTCCTCTCCAATCCCACCCCGACTGAAGCTCTGCCCGCCGCTCCTGAGATCTGGGCCCTGGAACCTGGTCGTTGCCGAAGCTCGCGGTGGCAAGAAGCGCCCCGTCGCTCCTCACTTGGCGTTCCCATGGGAACAAAGCTGGAGGCCTCGCGCGGCGCGAAACAGTTGTAGCATCTAGTCCGCACGTCCGCCCCGTACGATATGGGTGGACGAGCGCGCGGCGATACTTCGACGTAACGTGAGTCCGACGTAAGTCCGACGTCTTCCGACGTGAACCCGATGCAAACCCGACGTGGGCCTGACGTGGATCCTGACACACGTTGGGTCTTCAGGGTCTTCCTCAGAACTTCTGGCAGCACGGTGTCTGAGCGCCGGTCGGGGGCGAGTGGAGCCTCGCTTCCCTCCCGTGCCCTCCTTGCCGCCCCCCCTCCCCCTCCGAACCCGAGGGTTCCGGTGCGCCCGCGCCAGCCTTCCAGGCCGAGCCCCCGGCGGACACGCGCACACTATGTTCTGCTGTCATTGAGAACAGAGGAACCCCTAACCCTCACAACACGATGAAGACGTGGCGTCGCTGTGTCCCCATCTTTGCATTACGGATACTAGGTCTGGGCGGTTTGATTCGATGCATCTGCAGACATACAACCCTATCCCTAATGTTGTCGGCCCTCCTAGCTTAGGTCCCCTCCCAAAGGGTTAGGGGTCCTTTTTTGGTTACTCTTGCTGAGCTCCCCTCCGAATCCGTATGCGGAGTGGGAAGAGTGGCGGTCGCGGCGCGGGTGCGTATAGGGCCGCCGTGCTGGGGCTGAGCGTACCGCCATGCAGTGGAAGCCCATGTCAAGAGACAGCCCGCTTGCCTCCAGGGTGCCCTGGGCTTCTTGGGTTTCGATGGTTCTGCTATGGACTGCTTGACGTTCCCACACCAAAACTCAATGGACGTCCTGGGATCTCAGGGTTGGGTTTCTTGGGGCGGTTCCTTCTGGTCGAGCTCCCACTGTAGGGCTGACGCGGGGGGGCTGAGCGTGCCGCCATAGTGTGGCTGAGCCAGCGTGAAGGCGGCTCTGTCACACCGTGACCTGCCGTCGCTAATCTGTGCCGACCGACCGTCGGGGAGAGGTAAGACTCGAGTACGCCAGAACTCGGAGTTGCCGACTTCTTTGCCGAGCGCGTCTTGAATTTTGACGGTCCAGTTTTCGTGAGATGTTTGCAGCGGGAGCTCGCGCCAAAATTCAAGTTGGGTCTCGTCAGTTTCGGGATCGCCCCGTCAGGCCAACCCGAGTCCCCCGAACCCGAATCTTACCCATAGATCCGATGTTGTGTTTTTTTCAAGACGGGGTCCACGAAAGTCTCGACCGATTCCCAGGACCCGTTTTTGCATCCTGAGTTGGACAGTCCCAGGGCCCAGCGAGGACCCCTAGAGGCCGAAAATTGCGAAGAACCTCCGCCTGGAGTTTTCCAATTCGTTGTGGATCTGTGGGCACGCCTCCCCGAGACAGGGCAGGGCCTGCCGCCGTGTGCGTCTGATGGCTTCTGCTGTCGGCGCTGCGACCGCGGGCCCGAGCTGTGCAAGCGACTCCCGACGGTGCCGAAGCTGGGCGGCCGAGGCCCCGGCAGCCGGGCCGAGAGAGGGAGCCCCCCCGGTTGGGGGCCTTGAGCGCAGGCACTGCGCGGGCGGCGCTTCCCGCCGCGGGCCGGCCTGCCGCCGCGGCCGCCGCCCCTGCCGGGTGCGCCGCCGGGGCCGCCGCCGCCGCGGACGACGTCTTCGGCGGCGACGGCGGAGACGACGACGAGGCCGGAAGCCTGGCCCGGGGAGTCCGAGGAGGAGAGCGATGCCAAGAACCACCGCTGCTCGTCCTGGAAAGGCAAGGTCGCCACAGCTGGATTTCTCCTCGAGGTGCGGGTCAGCACGCACCAGGGCAGAGGTCTGGGGAGCAGCGGACTCCGTGCTTTTTTGTTCACCCAGGAATGGCGAAAACGGGGTCTCGCACCGTGGCAGGTTCACGAAAGCGAAGGTCTGGCACGTGCCAGGCGCAAGCAGCCAGCAGTCCAGGCGCTGGCGACACGTTCTCTTTCCAGCTTACTGGCCGCTTTCGGCAGATCTTTTGGGGGGGGCTGCTTCTTTCGGCACCCTGGCCTTTGGAATGCTGGGGCCATCTCTCCGCCGAGGACTGTGAAGGACGTGCCGGGAGAGCAGGTCTACACGAAACAGTTCCTCGTTGCGCTCAACCTGAAGGACGCGAAGCCGCTCGGGTGGCGCCTCAACGCCTCCGACGATGCGGACCCCGTGACTGTCGAGAAGATCAGCGCGCACGGCGTCTTGGACAATTTCAATAAGGCTCCTCCTCCGCCACGTCCTTTCCTCCCGTGTATCTCTTCGCTCGCCGTGTACACAATTGTGGCTCAACGACGCGAGCACAACTCGGGGCCCCCGCCTGGAGGAGGCCATCTGCCAGTCGTCGTATATTGACGCGCACGGTAGCTCGCACATAGCTAATTCGCTGCTCGTTGTGTGTTCGGTCTGTTTTAGATTGGCTTAGGCCCGTTACTGATCCGCCGCCGCCCGCTCATCCTCATCTTCATGTCCTGGCGGCGACCAGGAGGTATTGCCTCCAAAGTCTCCAGAAGCCACCCAGGGGGCCTCCTGGTGGCCGCCTCCTGGTGGCGTCCAGGGGCTTCAGTAACACAGAAAGTCTCAAGGGGAGGCCAGGTGCCTCCAGAATGCTTCTACGGCGCATCCTCGAGGGGTGCGGCGCAGGAGCATTCGGTCATTGGCCGCGGTTTCGGCCGACCTTCGGTATCTTCTGGATGCTGGGTCGGCCTTTGCAGGGGAACGCACACGGTCTTGTCAGGCAATGGGCCTTAGCGGGCTGGAAACCACCGTGCTCCCTCCGAAGTCGCCAGCGTGGAGACCTCTTCCCCGCGCGCATTGCGACTGGTGTCGCTCCATTTTCCTGCGGTATCTCCAGGGATTCCGATGCGATCAGGACTTGATGCTTAGCGAATCGCGTCGCCGGTTTTGGCCCACTACGCTTCGGCGCGACACGCTAAGCACGTCCAGTCCCAAAACATGAACGCTCCTAACTGTTCCAAGCCTCCCGTTCCACGAAGCAGAGCCACACGCTATCAGCTTGCAGGGGCCGTCATCGCCGTGACACGCCAAGCAGAAGTGTTGCATGTTTGGCTTCTAGAGGCCTCCACGAAACTTCATGTCAAGACCCCCTGTAGAGGGGGTCTGTCAGGAGGAAGGTCGGACGGGGCTCGGACGAGTACAGATCCTTTCCAGCGCGTTCTGGAACGCTCTCCGGAGTGCTCTCAGGGCGTTCTGGAACGCTCTGAGAAGGCCGCGGCGTCCGAGGCATCCTCCAGAGGCGGCTCGCCGCTTGTACAAGAGAGCCGTCGGCGCAGAGCCAGGGGGGGGGCGATGAGGGGCGGGCCTTCGATGAGGGGCGGGCCTTCTCAAGAGACTCGGGAGGCCTCGGGCCTTGCGGTCGGACCGAGGTGTAAAGGCGAGGTCGGTTCGGGGAGGGTGCCTTAATGTTCTTTGTGCTTGTCGGATGCTCTTGTGTATCCTGGGGTAGTGTGGCAGGCGGAGGGTCTCATGGTCTTGAAGGATGTTCTTCTGTCCTGGGTCCTGCCGTTGGAGCAGTTTCCGAAGACTCCCCTGAAGACACAGAGCACTTCTCAGAAGGCCGGAGGGTTTCTGAGAAGCCCTGCCGCCTTCTGAGAAGGCCTTCGTCAGGAGGGCAAAGCACACACAGACACGATTGATCGTCGATCCCAGGAAAATATGGGAAAACAAGGGAGGTGGGGGGGATAACGAAAAACCAGAAAACATAAGAAACTATTGGGAATCTTGGGATCTGTGTATTTTTGTGTGTGTGTGTGTGTCCCTGGGCCCCTCTACTTCTTCCTCTCACTTCCCCCAGGGCCCAGGGGGCACCCCAGGGGGGCTGGGACCCCATGGCGGGGCCCCGGGGGGGCGAGGCACGGATCGGATCGTTGCTCCACCATGGAAGGATCAAGCCCTCGTGAGCGGGGCGAGTGCCTCGTCCCTGGGGCACGGCAGTCGGGAGGAGGAGGATGAGGAGGAGAAGGAGAAGGAGGAGGAGGAGGAGCTGGTGGAGGCGGAGGAGGAGGAGAACGAGGAGGAGGAGGAAGAGGAGGATGAGGAGGAGGAGGAGGAGGAGGAGGAGGAGGAGGAGGAGGAGGAGGAGGAGGAGAAGGAGGAAAAGGAGGACACGCAGGAAGAGAAGGAGGAGGGAACAGGAGGCCTCGGTCCCCTGCGCGTCTTCTCTGTTGCCCCTTCTCCGCCTCCCGTCTTTCCCACCTGTCCCTCCCCGCTTCCTCATCGCAGGCGGATCTCCCCTCTGGCCTCCCAGTCCTGCTTCGCTTCTTTCCCAGAGCGCTCCTGGCTGTCGGCTTTCTGAATCCGCCCGGCTGGAAGAGGCGAATCTGGCCAGCATGGTGCAGACAGGGGACACCCTCCTGAAGGTCAACAACGTGGCGTGGAAGAAAAATTCCAAGACATTTATCGACCGCGTCAACCAGGAGCGGTGACGGCGGCGGCTACGATGGCTGCGACGGCGGCGACGGCGACGACGACGACGGCGACGACGACGACGGCGACGTTCACGACGACGGCGACGTTCACGACGACGACGACCACGACGATGGCGCGTCGTGGACGACAAATTACAAGACCTCTGTCGTCGAGGCGGGCATTCATCCACAACCACCGTTTGGGGGAACGATCTTTGTGGACCTTTGCAGGCGGTGTATATGGATATATTCGGGCCCCCAGGTGCCAAACTATATCCCTATCCACAGCCCGCTCAGTCCACAAGACGTCGGTTCCCAGGCGGTGGATCTGGACAAATCCCCGCCTCGCATCGTCGACCGCGTCCACCAGGACCGGGCTGCGCACGGCGAAACACGGGAGCCGCCCTTCGCCTCGGACGCAGGCCCACCGCGGCCCCTGCGGTGTGCTGCAGGTGCCTCGCAGGCACCCTTCGCCTGGAGGCAGCAACCAGCAAGCACAGCATTCGACTAGGAGATCGACTACAGAATTGCTCTACCCCGAGCTTGAACTTTTCGTCGACTCTACGAACGATGCGTGTAGTTTTCTTAGGTTTGCGAACATTCTGATCATTGTTGGTAGATTTGACGAGGAAATTAGTTTTGGTGTCAACCAATTCTGTAGTAGACCTCCTACTCGAAGTATGGCCCTTCTTGCCCCCGTTGTGGCCCTGGGGCCGGCCAGGAGCGCTGCTTTGTCAGCGATCTTGTCAGCGATCCCGTGGCAAGTGCTTTTGTTTTCGTTTTTCGCTGTGGAGCCCATTGTGGGACGATTCGCGTCCCCTGAGGTGTACCACTAAGCGCGCCCTCAGGCCAATGGCTAAGCCATACCCGAGCCAATTTCTGATTCGGCTGGCCCGGCAGGCCCGGCCTTGCACTCCATCGTATCAACGTCTACCCGCTTAGCCGGCTAACACGCCTATCTGACCCTTCACCAAGGCAGGGGATGCTGTACCCAAACGTCGCTTTGGGCATGTCCAGGGCTCCCGTGCGCGAAGAGCCAGAACCAGCATAGCAAGACGGTGCCCCTCTCCCCGCCCAGGCTGACACCCTGCTGCGGCCCGGCCGGGTGGGCGCCGAGCGCGTGTGTCACGGCAAGATATTGACAGCACCGTTAGATGTTGCACAGAACGTGGGATAGAGACCAGTCCAAGTACATTTCAAGGGTTTTTCCCTTTTCCAGTCGCCTTTCTCTTGGGCGCTTGGGCGATCAGAAGTCGATTCTACTTGATCCACCTTCCTGCCTGGCTCCTGCCCCAGGCTTCTACATTTTTCCCGAACAGCCTGCGCCTCTTCAACCTCCACCGAGGACGCCGGGGCCCCCAGCGGCCCCGAGACCATTCCGCATGCCGATGGGCCTCCGTTGGCAAAGAACGGTAGCACGAACACGCGCATGGGGGGTCATCGGGCGGTCTAGAGTCTAGAGAGCGAGAGAGAGAGAGAGGAAAGTAGAGAGAGCGAGAAAGAGAGAGAGATGAAACACACAGAAAAAGAGAGAGAGATGATAATGATGATGATGATGATGATGATGATGATGATGATGATGATGATGATGATGATGATGATGATGATGATGATGATGATGATGATGCTGATGATGATGATGATGATGATGATGATGATGATGATGATGATGATGATGGTGATGTGATGATGTGATGATGGTGATGGTGTATGGAGATTGGTGATGGTGATGATGGATGATGATGATGATGATGATGCTGATGATGCTGATGCTGATGCTGATGCTGATGCGTGCTGAGGCTATGAGTGCTGATGCTTGATGCAGCAGCATTGCTGAAAGCTGATGGTCATGCTGATGATGAAGCAGATTCAGAATGCAGATGCAGAAAGCCTGAGCTGCTGCTGCTGAAGATGATGTATGACGATGAAGCTTGCTGATGCTGATGCATGATGATGTGCTGCTG